GGGCTTAACATTATTCAAAAAATTGAGCGACTTGCAGTCTCAGTGAGTTCCCCGGATGACGATACCATGGAAGACCATCTTTTAGGTGTTGTTCAATGTCCCTCTTCAAAGGGAGTTGACCAAGCAGAACAAGTGCACAATCTTTTAGAATATTACGGATGAAAAGAGCAGATCATTGGTATATGCTGTGATACAACTGCAAGCAATACAGGCGGAGTAAATGGAGCAGTCCAAATTCTTACAGATATTTTGAAATTACCAATTTTGTCGATAATGTGTAGGAGACGCATATAAGAAGTACTTATATCTCACTATATAGCTGCCCTTACTGGTGAGAAAACTAAAGGTCCAAGAAGAGCTCTTTATATCAAGCTAAAGAACAAGTGGCCTGAAATCTGTGAGAAAGTGAATGAAGTGAAAAATTTATGTAAATTGGACTGCAAACAGATGATCTGAAGATTAGCTCTGTTCTTCGCACTGTTGCAGAGGAAGCTAAGACATTTTTGACTAATGCAACTACTGATATAGTGTTTTCAAGGAATGATTATGGTATAGTTTGTAAGCTTGCCTCCTTCTTCCTTGGAGTGGAAGTACAAGATTTTAAGTTCCATCAACCTAGCGCCTGCCATGAGGCAAGGTTTTTAGCAGATGCGATCTACATCCTGACTCTTTATATGACTAAAGATATCAGTAATATCTTGACAGAAAAAGAAATGCTGCATTTGAAGGACGCAAGTTTGTTCATTGCAATTTGCTATATTCCATGGTTTTTAAAAAGTTTTTTTGGATTTCTGGCTCCCTACAATGATTTGAAAGCTATCCAGAAAGCCTATGCATTGAGAAAAGTTAGTAAGAATATTGGAAATGCTTTGCTTCTCAGCATGGGACGCCATACGGGGTACTTAACTCCGCAACTCTGTGTTTTTTCTTTTGGAGATAAAGAAGTTCCTTCTGAAACAAAGCTAAGAATGCTGTTAGCTCTGATTGAGTTTGAAGAGCCAAATGAATTTCAGCGTTGTAAACCATCGAATGTACAAATTGGAGAGACCACAGAGCTACCTGACTTGATTTACAAGCAAAGCTACCTTCTCTTCAAACATATTTAAATATCAAGAGCAAGTATAAAAGAATGGCTTAATAATAGTCTTAATACTATAGATGTTTTTAACCATCCTCAGTAGCTAGATTTTATTGCATGGATCAAAAACATATCTGTTGTAAATGATGGTGCAGAAAGAAACATTAAGCTCATTAAAGATTTTATTTCAGCTAGAGGTCAAGATCACCTTCAAAATGTACTTTTTGTAGTTAAAAAGTCTAGAAAAAACTTGACTAAGACTATGACTAAAAAGGAACTTAGGAACTGTTCAAAAAGTGGTATTTTTTGAGAAATGTTTCACCGCAATAAAATCTTAAATTTGCTAATAAATATTAGTTTTCATGTATTGTTTTTGTATTTTCATATTTATAAATATAATCTATCAAGTTAAATAGTAGAAAACAATTGGAAATGATTTATACCCATCTAATTGTTTTGTTTTAATTTTCTAAAATGTGTTTTCTATTAATGTTAAGCTAGCTTAACATTAAAACAGTAAAACTCAGATTATACATCTAGCACTTCCTGTCAAAATAAAACCGTCAAATTTTTTTTAGTACTTATTTATGTCACATAGAATGGGAATCAGTAGAGAGCTTTTTTTTTTTTTTTGGGACATCCTAGTGACCACACATATATGTTATACAGATAATCTATATATATATATATATATATATATATATATATATATATATATATATATATATATATATATATATATATATATATCTATATATATATATATATATATATATATATATATATATATATATATATATATATATATATATATATATATATATATATATATATATATATATATATATATATATTATATATATATATATATATATATATATACATAAATACCTAAATTTATATTTTATTATGCATATTTTCAAAGTAATTGAATTACTTTTTGATTTCTGTGACACAAATAATACTGTATTGATCATATGTTTGAAACAAGTATTCAAACTCAACCTGAACGCATTGACCAACTGTTGATAGATAAATGTAGATTAAGCAGCCGTGGAGCTGTGGTAGCTCACTTGCCTCAAGTGATCCGTGGTTCAAACCCCACTTCTAGCAAGTTTTGTGATACCAGTTAGTATGGTGGCGTGAACTTCCAATTATATGCTCATCAACGGTGCTCATCAACGGTGCTCATCAACGGTGCTCATCAACGGTGCTCTGCTATTAGATCGTAGAGACTTCTTGTTGCACCTAAATAAAACAAAAAATAAAAAAGAATAATAAGATTGTATTTATTTTTGTTGTAAACGTTAAGGTAATTCAACTTTGACGTATAACATGTGAAAAATATAATAATGGATTTTGCTTTAGAAAATTAAGGAGTTTTTTTTCCAAATGCTTATCTGTTGAATTATGTATGCATGCTGAACCATATATTATACACTTTTGAAAATCATAAAAGCTAATTTTTTAGAGGAAGATTTTTTTTTTCATTTAAAAAATTTTGTATTTTCTTAATAAATGCACATAAAAAGCGTTTTGTTAAAAAATTCAAATCATTTGGAAAGAGGTTAGAAGCATCTGCATTCTTTTTATTTATAACTGCGCCATATGGGCTACAGTTTGGAAATAAGGTGCAGTAAAATAAATAATGTAGAAACTATTTTTAAATTATCATCCAATGCAAAAGTTCACGTTGACCGCTTTTTAAAAATTAGTGAAGGTACAGGCTTTTTGGTTACAACAATTGAGTAAAATTAATTATTTATTGTTATGCATTTTACTTTGTAAAATATAATAATGTTGTAATTGCTGGTTTCAAGTATACTGGATTATGTAACTTTTGCTTTTTTTAGTAAATTTTAGGAAATCCTTGAAACTGCTAACAAGTTTTTGTTTGGAATAAAGATCGCCGCATTAATCTGTTGCATATTTGTATGTAGTCCAACGTTTACTAATAAAACTCAGAGAACAAATAAAAATCACTTGACGCCAGATTAGGAATATAGAGTGGGTGCACTAGGGATTCAATGCCATGTGTGCAGAGCAGCAATAGCAATTCTGATCTTATGAATCGGTGCGTTGTCTTGCAAGAGTAACACACCCTTAGTCAATTTTGCTCAACTTTTTTTCTTGAAGCCTTTATTTGCCTGATGTTTTTTTCTTGAAGCCTTGATTTGTCTGATGTTGTTGCTCAGTTTTCTCCGGTTTTGCTCCTTAACTTTTTTTTGTGGGCAATGAATAATGTCCTACTCAATCCCGAAAAACAGTAGTCATTAATTTTCCAGCCAAGGAGGAGCCTGGTGCCTGGAGCCTGGAGCCTGGAGCCTGGTGTAGCACTTCTTTATCGATCATTTTATCTTTATTTTTGGCTTTAATTTTTTGTTGTAGTTTTATGACCGATTACTGAATAAACTAAACTAAACTATATACTATTTATTTTGTAATATTTTAAAAATTTTTCAATTTTGTTTACAGGGTGACAACCATAAGGTGAAACACATAAAGTAAGCTATATTTTCAAATTTAAGAGTTATATTTATTCGAAAGTGGTGTCAATAGAAAGCTACAAGTGTATTTAACAAGTTTTATTGGTTTAATTCGAACATGTCGCCCTCTGCTTTTATGCAGGCTCAACATCTCTTGAAAAAGTTTTCACACGCGGCACGCACGGTTTCTTGTGGCATTTTGTCCCAAATGTCAATCAAAAGTTCCTTGAATTGGTCCAAAATCGTTAATTTATGCTTCCCCAGTTCTTGTAGCATGTATCCCCAGACAAAAAAATCAAGGGGATTGAGGTCAGGACTCGAAGCAGGCCATTCTTTGGTATCGATAAAATCTGGGAAATTTTGCTTGCAGTAATCTTGAACAACAATAGCCTTGTGTGCAGGGGCAGAATCTTGCCGGAACACCCATGGATCATCACCATACATTTCTTTAGCCTTAGGTTCAATCAAATCTTTGATCACATTCTGTAAGTAGTATTCTTTTTTGATTTTCACCCCTCTATCGATAAATTTCAGAGGAAATTTCCCCTTTTTTGAGATGGCCCCGAATACCATGACCGCCAAATCGTTCTGATAACGAGCGACAGTTCTAACGTTTAAAGGAAGATCAGAGAGCTTTACAGCATAAACTCTGTCATTTTGTCTGTTCAACGGGCGCTCCAAAGTAAACATTTTCTCGTCCGAAAAAACAATATCTGCACCACCGTGCCGCTTTAATAGCGATTTGCAACGCTTGACTCTTTCCACCTTGTTTTTGTCAGTGAGGCCGGCAATTTTTTGTTTACGGTAGCACTTAAGTCTTAAATCTTGTTTTATAACCTTTTGCATAGAGGTATATGACATGTTCAGCTCTTTAGCTAGCTGCCGACCTGAGCGAGCAGGATTTCTTCGTAAACGTTCTCTTACCACTTTGATGATTGCTGGAGTGCGCTTGACGCGCTTTCTTTTTCTAGTTTTAGCTGGAACTGTTTGGCCAGTAGTTTTGTAACGAGAAATTGTTCGACTAATCAATGATTTGCTGACTTTTATATCATTTAGGTGTCTCCAAATATCAGCTTGACTTAAATTTTTTTTGTGTAATGAAATTATCAGCTTCCTGATAGGATTTAGATCTGTATTTTTCATACAATCCCTCATTTTTTCTTCCTCAAATTTTTAAAACTTTTTCTAAACAAATGTCAAAACAAACTGTAAACAAGGGGAAAGTCATATGGTACGGGGTCAATAAATGATTGGGGTTCGAAAATGTGTTTCACCTTATGGTTGTTACCCTGTAATTATTTTTTTTTCTTTTTACCGTAGTCCGACTATGATAAAAACAATACAATTAATAAAAACAATGGCTATGGTGTTGAATAAACACCAACTTTATTTCTTTGATTTGCGTTAATTGACTAACAGATTTTATCTCATTACAGATAATTCACAAGTTTGGCTCAAAAAAGGTATTCTATTATTAAACCTTTTTATACAATTTTCTGACTGAAGATCTTTTTAAAATGATCTTTGTATGTTTTTAGACATTTATTGTTTCATCTCTGCTTTTTGGTGCTATGATGCCTTTGTTACCTTTGATTGTTTTCATAAAAAACACGTTAGTTTCTTTTTTTTACATTTTTGCTGTTGTGTTAAGATAATTTATAAAAAGTAAATGATAAATGCTAATTTATGCGAATAAATTTTTTTTTATACTAAAAAATGCTAGTTCATGCTAATTTTAGCCTAAAAATGTTAATATACTGTGATAAATTCTTATAAATGGTAATACAGTAAAATGTTATATATCTTATATATGTCTTGTTAAATAGTTTTTGAATGAATAAATTTATTTTTTTTTCAGAAAAAAAAAAAATTTTTTGACGTAGATTTATTTAAAAAAATTGGCTCTACTGGAATGAATAAATATTTTAACAACTTTGTTTAGTTTTTTGTTTGAAAACATTTTAAGTAAGAAAAAAGAGATTGGGTTATTTAATCATTACCATTTAAGTTAAAGGTGTGAATTAGTTAATCAATTAAAATAGTTTAAATGGTACATTTTATTACAAATTTAAGAAAGTGAAATGAAAATACTAGTCTCTTCATTTTTGGTGCAAAAGTAGTCATCGTCAAACTCGTATTCTTTTCGCAAGCATGCGAAAGTTATTACAGGTGGAATGCAAAAAGCAAACTTGAGTGAAGTTTGACTTGAACTTTGAAGTCTGACTAAGTCAAGAAAATTAAAAAAAAAAAAAAAAACTTGAGCAAATTCGTAAACAAAACTTGAAATTTTGAGATGGCGCTCAAGAAAGTCAAACTTAAAAAATTCAAAAAGCGTTGACTTGAAGGCTTTACAAATAATAGCGGCAGCATATATGAGAAGTTAAAACCTTTTAAATAAAGAAATTTAGCTATATATTTAAAAAAAATATTTCTCAGTTTTATAGTTTAAATTATTAACTTATAATAATAAATTAAAAAGTGTTACAAAAAAATATATATATTTTTTGTTATTTTATTAAAACTTGGCAATTTAATGAAAAACACTTGATTAAAATGAACATGCTTGTTTACCATTTATTTAGTCCAAGGCTCTAACTACGACGTAACAGCTGAATAATATTCAAATGGCATATGTGCTATGCGGTTATCAGCAAAATATATGTCTAAAACAAGGCTGATAGCAAACACTAACTACAAAGAGATAGAGCACAAAATCAGTTGAAGAAAATGGTTAATACAAGTTAAAAATGGTTAATACATTTCATCTAATGTACAACAGAACCTATTTTTGTTTCAACGGTCAACATAAGAACGATTTGAAATCTATATAAATCAGAGACGGATCCAGCATTTTATTGTCTTTGAGATCAAAAAAAAACTGGATCCATTTAATAAAAATTATTCTCCGGACACGGAGCAAGCTTCAAAAAAACATATGTTTAAACCTATGTCAAATAAGGATGCTTTGCGAAAAATTGCCCCTCAACTTTAACTGACTTATTGAAGTAATAGTAAGAGTGTGGCCATTTGTTCAATATATGAGTTAGAGAAAAAGTGTTTTGGAATTATTAAGTTTACTATATAAACAATCAGTTTCGGCTAAATTTGATTTTTGAATTTTAGTAAAATAAAGAAAAAGATGACCGGTGAAACTGGCTTGAAAAAAAAATCTAATATCTTATCAAGAGATAAGGTCTTGCAAATATTGCCACAAAATCATTTAACTCTATTTAAAATTTTATGGAGATAATGCATTTTTAGAATTAAAATTATTAACGTTTCAAAAAAACTAAAAACTATAAATATACCCTGACGAATACAACAACTGATACAAAACAAACTTAACTTTCTTTCTTGTTTATTATATTTGGCATTATACAATATCAATATTGTGTAACAAATGACCGAATGAGTAAGATTTTCATATTTGAATAAAATAAATGTATAAAATAAATGAGTGTAATTCAAAAAAAAATAAAAGGCTCATTTTTTTTTTTAACTTATGAAAGTTAAAATAAACTCATAAAACAAAGCAGATTTACTAGTTGCTAAATATATAAGTATTTCTTTATTATTATATTGATATTAATTAGAATGCAAAAAGAATGATAAAAACATTATTAAAACAGTGTGCAAAAGTATTTGCACACTTACAAGTGTGCAAAAGTATTAGCACACTTTCTTAGAATCTTTTTCAAAGATTCTAAGAGAGTTTAATATTTTATGTGACCCTTTTTGATTTTAAGGCATGCCAAGACTCTATGCGGCATAAAATCTAAAAGCTTTTTGATTAGTTCTTGTGGCACGGTATTCCACAACAATTGTCTTTGCGTTTTAAGCTGCACCAAACTAGTATGCTTGCTTTTTTGTAATTTGCAGTCCATCCAACTCTAAAGATTCTTAATAGGATTTATATCAGGCGAGCGAGCAGGCCAAGCCATTAGATTTAACCGTTTTTCCTTTATGTGTTATTTAATTGAGCGTGATGTATGGAAAGAAGCGTTATCTTGTTGATAATGTCAGGTAGAGTCAGCCTTGAAAACTTCAATTGATGGCTTTAAATAATCTTCTAATATCTTTTTATATCGATGTTGATCAGTGACAATCAGTGTAAAGATGCGCCAGGCCATTGTTAGATCCAATAATGCAGTCCCAAATGCCAATTAAACCTCCTCCTCTTTTAACTCTTAACATGATAAAACAAGGATTATATTTTTCGTTTTTGAATCTCCTTGCAACAACTCTTTTCTTGCGATTAATAAGTTCAAAATTTGACTCGTCCGAGAAAATTACTTTTCTCCATTGCTCTACAGTCCATGCAGCTTTCTTTTTGCACCATTTTTGCTTGAGACGGTCTTTGATACTTAGTAGTGGCTTCTTTGTTGCAAGGTATGAATTGAGATGAATATTTTTCTTTATCAGCTTGCTAATTGTTGATCTGCTAACTAGATGTGTACCTAACGCTGTATTTAGGTCTGAGGCAATTTCGGCTCTGCTCATGTTAGGGTTGCGTCTAGCAAGCATAATTGCTTTATTTTGTCTCTTTCTGACTTTTTTTGGGACGACCAGAGCGAATTTTGTCTTCGACTTTTCCAAACTCATTATAGCTTTTGAGCGTTGTTCTAACGCTGCGTTCACTGATTTCAAGTTGACGTCCGATTTCTCGATTGCTGAGACCACCTTTGTGCAGACCAACAACTTGCCAATTTGTTTAAATTGATATGCTCTTTAAACCTATATTTAGTAAGTGCAATTTTAAAGTTTTAAATAACGGTATTTCAAATAATATTTTCGACACTTTAATTTATGGTTCTTATACTTTTTATTGACTATTATTAATCAGCAGAAAGTAGTTAACAAAAATTAGCCAAAAAAGTTTTTCTCAAAGAAATTAAATGAGTACTCTAGTACATTTTAAATAATTGGGCTAAAACATTTGCACGCTTAATTTCAGACATTTTTCCGAGTAGTCATTACACTTCTGATTAACTTATAAAAAAATCAACAGGGTCACCAATATTTGACATTATAATTAAATTTATTTGGTTTTACCTTTCATTTAAAAAAAAACTAGTTCAAAATTAAAGTTACTTTACAATCTATATTGGTTTGAAATTGTTTATAATACAAAATTTACGAGTGCGCTAATACTTTCTGGAAGCACTGTATATATATATATATATATATATATATATATATATATATATATTATATATATATATATATATATATATATATATATATATGTTCATATATATATATATATATATATATATATTTGAAATGTGTTATTAACCGATATAAATAAAATAGTATTTAAACAAATAAACACTGCATATAAAAGATTAATTTCTTTTATTGTCATTATGAAGTAAGATAAATTAAATTTAAGTTAATAATTTTTTTCACAAGCCTTTCAAAAAATCATCAGTAGTGCTATTTATTTTAACAAAATAATATTTTTCAATTTTTAAACAGGAAATGATAGTTATCTATAGAATAATTTTTATAACTAATATTGTGAATTTTTTTATTTGACTTTAATCAGTAAAGGTCAATTCAAAGTGACATACTTTTTTTTGTGGTGATGTTTTTCATAAGAAAGTAAATTTTTTTTCATTTTTGAGTTGCACAAAAACAAAAAGTTGGAAGAATGGCTTTATAATTGTATTATGTACACGTTAGCAATTATAAACATGGTTATCAAATCTATTTGTTGATTGTCTGGTTCTTCAACTAGAAATATGCACATTTGGACGAAGTCTTACATTATTAGTATTTCCTGTGTATGTGGTTTTCATGTTCCAAGATAGACATTTTAAATAGTATTTCACATTTTTACTATTGTAAGTTATATGAATGAATTTTATAATTACCCATGCACCAAATAAAGAGACTAAATAACAACCAATGTTTCCATACGAGGAATGTATAAAAGAAGATATTGATCACATTTCAAAAAAATGGACAAAAAAAAGACGCATTCACTAAAATTGCGGTTGAAAAAAATAGAACTAATCTAAATTCAAAAAGTTTGATAAAACACAATTAAGATGATATTAACAATTGTTCAACTTCTATTGGATCAATTAATATCAACGCTGACAATAAACAAACATTAAATGCGATAGCTTCAAAAAACTGGATAAGCCCAACTCAAAAACAAATACAATCTATGTCATTGTCCCTTTCACCAAACCCCTAACAACATTTCAAATATCTCTTCTTATAAAGGGTCCTAAGTTTTGCCCGACAACCAAAAGAAATTTTTTACACACTCCGATACAAAATATTTCACAAAAAAACTAATACCAAAAGAAAAATTTCACGGAACACGTAATGCTGATATAATCATATTTGACGGAACACGTAATACTGATATAAGCATATTTGACGGAACACGTAATGCTGATAATGCGTAATAAAATTGATATTTTTATTTATCAAACTATGCTTAGTGGATAACATTACTCAACAAGAAAGGATAGCCTTAAAACAACAAAAGGAAATAAAGTATATAGCTATCAAAAAGGCAGACAAAAATAATTCTTTAATTGTAATGGACCTATCTTATTTTAGCAACAAACTAGTATATCAAGACCATCCACTCTCTTTAAACACTTATGAAAAAGCAAATCTTGAATCAGATAAAATTTTCTTTAGAGAACTTACTAAAATGATTGGTAAATATAATTGTCTAACCAAAAAGGAAACAAATTACATCACAAATTACAAATGGAAAACTATCAATTTTTACATTACTCCAAAAATGAAAAAAATTTTATCAAATATTTGAATAGGCGGCGGCGCCAGCATTTTTTGATCTTTCAGATAGCTAACTTCCAGAAATAGAGCGAGCTCCAAACATTTATAAGTTTGTACTTGTAAAATAAGGATGCTTTCCAAAAAATTACGATAATTGGAGCTTGAGCACAAAAAAAACCCCAAAAATTTGGCCGACACTGCCCCAATTGTGAGATTAACAAGTTGATGAAATAGTATTTGTACTATTTTCAACTAGACTTATACTTATCAATAAATTTTAAGTTTTATAGTATCATCTCTCAGCTTTCCAAAAATATGACCATATAAAATTTGCAACCCCCTCAAATTGAGGGGGGTTTAAACTTTTTATGATCATAATTTTGAACGCTAGTTTATTTTTTGATTTTGTTTGGTTACAAAATCAAAAAAATAAACTAACAAAATGATGCTAGAAACCATTTTTGCAGAGAATTGTTTGATTATGCTTGTCATAAGTTGAAGCCGAGATAATAAAAATCTCAGATATTGGGCGCAAAGTATTCGTTTGTTTTAAGAAAAAGAGCCATTTATTAAACTGAACTATTTAATTTTGTTATTGTTAAAACAAAACTTGAATTTAGTATTGCAATTTTAACAGAACGAATTACTCGTAGGTTCTATCAAAACCGAGTTGGCAAGTTATATTTACATTTCAAATAGTGAATGCTAGAACCAATGTGCGAACAATGTGTGAGCGTGCAGGTTTCCTTGTTCCAAACAATAAACTTGTCTATTAAATGCTATGGATATGTGCTGCTTTACATAATGATAAGTTTCTATATTTTATTTTGGAAAATTGTAGTATTATGCTGCTAGCTAGTAGAACTTCTGGTTTTTTTGTTGTTCATTGTGTGAACTTTTCTTGTTTGAATGTGTAAAGTGATTGATTATTTTTTAAAGTTATTTCACGTAGGTTACAATTTTTTTTTAAATAAGTGACAAATAATTAAATAAATTAAGTGTTTGATTAAATTTTTAGTAAATAACTAAAAATCTGTAAAAACCAATATAAATCAAACTTTCAGTTAAACCATTTTATAAATGAAATCAAAAACGAATCATATGCAAAAACTAAACCGATAATTAGGTAAAACCAAAATAATCCATTAAGACATTCAGATATTCAGTTTAATTCAGTTATGGATCCATAACTGAATTAAACTGAATGTCTAATTATTTAGACATTCAGTTTAATTCAGTTATGGATCACAATTTTAGGTTATAATAAATAATTTTTTTAATGTAAATTAATAGTGAAAGTTAACAATCGTACGCTAAAAAAATAATTATGCGATAAATATGCGGTAATGGTGTAGTGGTAGAGCGCTCGCTTCATAAACGAGTGGTTCTAAGTTCGATCCCCACCACGTCCATGGTAGTACCACGCTCAACTCGTTTCTTCGCGCAGCGGCCTTGTTTGTCAAGGGAGTTATAGAGTTGATAGAGGGTTATAACCACAAATAAGTAGCCTCCTCGTCTTTAGTGGCCTTCTCGGCCTTAAGGAGATGAATTAAAAAAAAAAAAAAAATTGTTTTATTAGTCTATTTACTTGATTGGTAAATATACCTTCAACTTTTAAAAAAACTTCCAGAGAATCATTCAACTAAGTTTGAAGCTTTAACTTTTTAATCTTTTATTAAGTTTACATATCCATGGCCAAAATAATTATGAGATGGAAGAGGCGAATTTGATTTGGTTTTTATTTTTCTAATGCTGTTACAACTCTCTCAAATCTTTAACTTCAAAACACAAACCAAGACAAACTAGGTCGCTGCACATTTTAGCAATTTAAAAGCAGAACCACCATGGACGTTGTGGAGAGAAACTTTTTCTTTATAAAACAAGGGATCTACTTTAAAACTTCTTTTAATTTTCTTTAGAGTAGTTTTTGAGAAAAACGCGTAATACTGACGTATTTGAAAATTTGAGTCATTGAGACGTCAGTAAGGAATCCATTTATAAGATTTTGCTATTTAGAAGCATAAAGGTGTTTAAAAAAATGATTCTTGAATCTAGGACTAAACCTTTGGTTTTCAATGAACATAGTACACAGCTAATTTTGTTTGTCAAAAATAGTTTGTAATTAAAACTTTTTTAATTGTTTCATTTTATTTATAATAAAAGCCCAAGTTTCAGTTGACGTTAAGCTTTTTATTAGACCGGTGTCCTTCGTAAAAGAACCAAAAAATGTGTTTAAGGACCAGAAAATATGTTTGGGATCTTTTAACGTTAACGCAGATTTTTTTTACAAATAGAAACTAATTAAACTTTTAAACACTAAACACTTTGTAATTTTACCGAGTTATGCCTAATTAAGTTAGACATGTCTCTTTAAATTAAATATATATATAAGCATATATATATATAAATATATTATATAACCATTCAACTCTGAATGGGTTAATAAGTTGAAAATTGTTACTTTAATTTTAGGACTGTTCTTTGGTTTATCTTGTGGATTAGTGAAGTAGTTGTATCTGTCTCTATGATGTCAGGTTTCACAGCTGCCAATATTTTGATTAATAACTCAGTTGGGTCGGACTTGCTCGGATTAGCAAACGGTGTTGCAATGTCTGTCTCTTGCATTGGAAGGTGAGTCTATGGTGTTTGTTAAACTTCTATTTGAAAAATAAAAAAAAGTTTTTTTCTATTCATTTAAACGTATATAAAGTGGCCTAAAACTGTGATGGAAATAAGACAAATGTTGTCTTAAATATTTTTTTACAACTGAAGTTAAACAATCAAGTTAAAAAATATCTTAAGCCTAAAAAACAACTTAAAAAAACTGATGAGCAATCAACGAAGATGAACCTATTAACTTTTTTAACCTTTCATATATGATAAAAAAAAGTATGAACGCTCCAATTTACTGCTTCAGTGTTCTTATTTATTGTAGTTTTATACAGTTTGAATGTAGTGTTCATACTTTTGTACTAGTCAATGTACAAAATGTATGCACAATTATTGTAGTTTTTATTTAGTATTTTATTTTCATATTTTTTATGTTAAATAAATACATTCATCTTTTGTTTAACTTAATAAATAGATGTAAATATGCCCATAGTTAATAGAGCGACATAAATACGCCGCTAATTACTATATATTTAGGGAACCAATAAAAAAATCATTCCTTTAACTTAAAAAAAAACTTTTTTGTTTTTGTGTTCCTAATTCGTTTTAATAAAAAAATTATTTTTAATGCTTTCTATTTTTTTAGATCTGTCGGAATCTTTGGATTTGCAAGTATTTATTCATGGTCGCTGAAAAACAAAGAAAGACCTTTTCCGTTTAATCAATATTTTTCTTTTTATTTCATTTTAGTTGTTATTATTTTAGTATCGTTGACATCATCATTCATTCCTGTTTCCTTAAATAAAAGAAAAATAGAACTGCAATAAAAAATTTTGACAACCAGTACTTTTTGGATTGTTTTATACTGTAGGTTTACGTTGGCATGAAATATTTTTATATATACCAGAGATTTTGTTTTTTTTCAGCTTCTTTTTTAAATTAAAATTATTCACTTGCTCAAATAATATTGACGAAGTTGTGAAAGTTAGTCATGGATTTTTGTTTTAAAAAAAAATAATAGAAATAACACCAACAAAAGAGTGGTAAAGAGAATATATTAAAGATTTAAAAAGTAAATATATTTAAAAAGAATGTTTTTGTACTTTTATTTTTAAATATTTTTCTGTCTTTTTTTTCATTAATTTTTGAGTGTTACAGTATATGATGAGGGGCGGTTGAGTTCCGGTTATTTGCAATTTTGCAATTTAATTTAGTTAGTTAAGAGAGTTATAGAGATTATATATATGTTGGAAATTAATTTTATAATAATTTTTAAGAATATATATTTTTAAACTTATAATTGGTAATCTTTATTAGTAATGTAACTTGGATTGTTTTTATACCTGGACAAGCATATTTAAAATGTGATCTAAACGCAGTTTGGTATATAATTGTAAGAGTTTCTCGCTTAACATTATTGCGGCATTCAGTTAGCATTTCAATTGATTTACTTAATTTTGCTTTTTTTAAAATCTTTTAAATGATATTAGAGTTAATTTTAACAGGAAAATTATTTATATAGTTAACAAGGTTGATTTTTAGTTAACTTCGGCTAAAATTTAGGTGCTTATACATAAAAAAATAAACGTCTAAGTTTTTAGTTATTGTGTTAATTGTGTGTATAATATTTAATTTATGGGTAATTAATTCATTTTTAAATATTATTATTATAATCAATTATTCAATAATTATAAACATCAATTCAATAATTTATGGGCAATAATTTATGTTAAGGGTGTACCGCTCCATGCTAGATAAGTACAAAGTTTTTTATCAACTGAGCTTTAAATGGATAAACAATAGAAATAAATTTTTGTTAAAAGAAGCTAACAAAAATTTATTTATTTCATTTCTTATCTCAAAAGTAAAAGTAAAAGCATTAGCTCACTTTGGACTTGTGTCGTAGCACAGTCCAAAATGAATATAAAATATGAAAACACTCAATAACAACAGCAAGCAAAAATAAAAGTAATAAGCAAAACAGAACAAATAAAAAACAAACCTTACACAAACAAAAAGGTAAAACACAAAAACAACAAGACGAAACACAAAAACAACAAAGCGAAAAGGCAACCACAAACACTTCTACAAAAAAAAAAAAAATAAATAAAAATTAACGACAAACTTTAGTTATTTTTGCAAAATAAAGAAAAAATATTAAAAGGTGTAGAAAATTTGGTAAAATAGAGAAACAGGAATCAACAACAAAAATAATTAGAACAAATAATAACAAACTTTACGCAAACGAAAAGAGAAACCTAAAACTACAAAACGAAATGCATAAACAAATATAATGTTTAATTAAAATAGTTAATGGTAACATTATTTATTTTTCATAATTAAAATCAAATAAACAAAAATGGTTGAATATAATAACTTAACTAAACTTACCTTAAGCTTTTATTTCGACAAATGTACTTACAGTAAAAATTTTCCTTACAACAGCTTTCGCTAACCCCTAACCCTGACCACCTTTATGTTTATAGCAGAGTTGGCAACCCACCAAGCTTATGCATGGTTACCAAGTTACTAAAGGCTAAAGGCATGCATACAAAGTAATAATGTAACTTTAAATTATTCCAGAAATTCCATTTAGAATATAAAAACTATTTTTATTATTCGGAATTTTATTGAGTCTTTCCATGCTTTTGGTACTCCCGATATATTTGATAGCTTAAATATATGTTCAATAGGAATACCCAGACTTAAAGAGCAGGTACTCATTACATACGTATAGATTCTATCGTTCCCACAGGACTTGTATTTATCCAATGATTTTAATTGTACAAGAATTTCTTTTAAACTGATTATTTTGTTTGTATCATTTTCACAGTAAACATGAGTAACAGGATCAAAACTTGGTAAGGCTCTGTTATCGTCTTCAGTAAATACAGATTAACAATATGTTTTTTAACAAATTTGTATTATCTAAAAGGTTATCACTCACAGTTTTATCTGGAAACCTTAAAGTAAGAATTCCTTTTTTATACTTTTTTTGGCTGTTTATGTATTCATAAAATATCTTCCCAGTAAACATTGAACAGTTGGTTAGTAGTTGGTCCGATACTAATAACCAACTATTAGCTACAGTTAGACCAACTGACGGCCATTTGGTTTGTATTGTGAAATAAACGTTACGCTTTTATCAACACTTAGCCAACTGCTTTTGCGCATTAATTGAAAGTGCAAATGTTGTAAATGTTTTGAATATTGCTTAATAACAAAGTGATTGTTTGTATATCAGATTTTACCAGTCAAACAGTGGTACAAATAACTTACTGCCCACACAAAAGTAATATTTATAGTTTGCTTAGTTAAATACACAAAATAAATTTAATTAATCATTATACTTTAATTTCCAGATCATTAAATAAAAATATTTACACATAAAAAACTAAAAATATTTCACTAGTGTAGTGAAAGATATAAAGACATAAAATAACGATATTAACATCAGATAAGTTTTTTTTAAAACATGTTATAACACAGGTACCAGAAAAACATATGTATATAAACACATAAATATAAACAATGTTTACATTTATGTGTTTATATACATATGTTTAAATATATGTATATATATATATATATATATATATATATATATATATATATATATATACATATATATATATATATATATATATATGTTTATATTATATATATATATATATATATATATATATATATATATATATATATATTTATATATATACATATATATATTATAATATAGTATATATATATATATATATATATATATATATATATATATATATATATATATTTATATATATATTTATATATATACATATATATATTATAATATAGTATATATATATATATATATATATATATATATATATATATATATATATATATATATATATATATATATATATATATATATATATATATATATATACATATATATATATATATATATATATATATATATATATATATATATATATATATATATATATATATATATATATATATATATATATATATATAAATATATATATATATATATATATATATATATATATATATATATACATATATATATATATATATATATATATATATATATATATATATATATATATATATATATATATATATATATATATATATATATATATATATATATATATATATATATATATTAGGGTGCGTCATTTTTCAACAATTTTTTCAAACTAAATCCCAACTACCTGGATTAGTTGACCGATTGGATAAAAATGATTTTACGCTAAAAAAAACTTTTTGAAACCCATTTTTAAGGTCCCCGCTTTTACAATTTGTGCCTCGAAATCCCAACTATTTTAACCAAAAAGCGGGGACCTTAAACATTAACATAAAACACCATTTTTATTTCTATGAACTCTAAAAGGCTTAAATATTAATTTGGAATTGGTTGCGAAGTTTACAATAAAAAAATATGAACTAATTTAGGTCAAGAAAAATAGCTTAAAACGCACTAACTTATTATAATTTTTAAGTATATTTAAATAGAATGACGCTTGCGATCGAATTTAACTCACGTGTGTCACAAACAAATACAATCTTTTTTTTCGAACTATTCTAAATAAATTAGAAAAGATTAAAAAACGAATTTGTGCTATACTTTTACTTAAGCTAAGAATATTCTTATTATTATAAACTGTAATTTATAACTTTTACTTTAAAGATGAAATAAAACGAAGATTTAAAAAAAATTAAAGATGCTAGCAAAAATTACGAGATCACAGTCAAAGACATTTTTATTTGAAGAAAAAAAAATGTTAGAAAAACTTTGTCAAACGCAGTTTGCCACAAATGAGGAAATTATTGTTCATTTTCGCTACAGGTATGATTAAAACATTAAACTGATTATAAATTATCACTAACCAAGTAATTAAAATTCAGTTTGAAAAACGAAATATATAAACCTAAATTTAATCTTAATAACTCAGTCATCTGTTAGACAAAAATTCTCTCACCAAAACTTTGATTGGTTGTGCTTCCCAAGATAAAATGATGTCTACATGCTCTGAACTAGCAATATGTCCTCAGAATTGCATCCTTTTTGCAATAAAGAAACCGTGGATCGATGGAGGATATGACAGCGGTATATTTCATGACAAACACATCAGGTTTGCTAAATGATCTATAATTAGAATTTTTTATTTTTACCGAATTTTACTTTTGCTTATATTAATTTGTTGACTATTTTCACTCTCTGATATTCAGCAGACGAAATTAAATCAGGTACTAGTGCTTCAACAGTATTACCTAAAAAATTTGCAAAAGAAGTTGCAATTACAGGTGTTTCTAAAAATATTTTACCTAGAAATATGATGCACTTGCTCTCTGACATAGTAGTTACTTCTAGGGAAAGTTTGACAGATTTCTCGCTTTCTGAATCTACTATCAGACGTGCAATAAAGAAAGCAATAAGTACAAGTGCAGCTAAATATCAAGGAGATATAATAAAAGCTGCAAGTCAAAGTAAATTTCCAATTATTGCACATTTTGATGGAAAAATCTTGCAGGATATTACTAACGGTACAAAACAAAATAGAGAGAAAAGTTTTGCTGTTCTTGTAAATATCGATGGTGATTTAAGTCTACTTGGCATTCCGCCAATGGAAAATTGTACTGGAAAATCTCATCATGATACTTTAATAAAAATTTTGGATGAATATAAGCTAAAAACTTATATAAAGGGTCTGTGCTTTAACACAACTTATAATAATACAGGAAAATATTCCGGCACAAACATTAGTTTTTGCCAAACACAGGGTTCAATTATATTACAGCTTGCATGTCGAAGACATGAGTTTATGAGCTTCACTGTAAACATTTTTAGGAAAAAGTTCACATTGGTAAAGCTTATGCTCCTGAAAGTCTGATGTTCAAAGTTTTCCAAGCTAATTGGAACGAAACAAAAAAAACTATGGATAAATCAAAGTTCAAAAAGTTTGACAAAGTTGCAGGTAAAGGAACGTATCTAGAAAAACAGATTAAAAAAACTGTTTAATTTTGCAAATATGCACTTGCCTATTTAGTATTTCCAAGAGGTGATTATAAAGAACCGGTAAAACTTACACTCACCTACTTATGTCCAGATGTAAGCTTTAATTTTTATGTTCCCGGATCAGTTTCCCATGCTCGTTTTATGGCAAAGTCAAAATATTATCTTAAAATTCAAGTTTTAAGTAATCAGTTGCCCTTCTAATTGACAGCTTGTTTACAAAAAAAAAAATCAGTAAAATGGCAGAATTTATTTCTATATTTTGTACTGTGTGGTTTGTGCGTTCCTCTTTAGTTTCCTCTGCACCTTATTAAGATTTAAATGCGTACTGGCAGATGGTCCAGTATAAACGTTGGGTGCAATCTTATGATCCAGGAGCTAATAATGTACTAGAGGGAATTGAATAAGTATTGAAATCAATGGAGAGACATACGTGGTATTTGGATCAAACCTTGATTCCATTATGTCTTGCAGATAAAGAACTCGAAGATGATGAGAAAGAAAAAATTGAAAAAGTTCTTTTCTCGCAACCTGTTCCTACTCACTATGAGAAGTTTGAAAATCCAATCCTTCTGAAAGATCTAAACTTCTCCCGGGAGAAACCACCTAGCTTGTCGCAGTTGGTTGGTAGGAACTCGTGGTTTATTTTCAGTCTCTTAAATTTGAGCAAAGACGATAATAAACCTTGGCTGAACTTTCCTTCATTTTTTTGGGGCTTTATCAACCAATTTAAAACTTTCATTGAATTTGTTTGCCGAACATATGTTGTCAACAACTGCTCTGTAGGCTTGTGTCAGAGTTTGTTAATTCTGTTCACAATGAAGAGGACAGGCAAGATTTACTGTTGGCCGTTCAGCATAGTAGGGATAAATTTAGGGAATTCGAAAAAGTACAAACTGGTGGCAAAAAAAAATGGCGCTGACAATGCATAGTTTGGAGAATATTTATTCAATTTTTCCCCAAAAACACGAAGAAAATGTTGTTGAGTTATAGTTTTACAAACTGTTTTTGAAGAAAAGTTTTTCTTGATTATTTATTACTAAATTATCACTGTTGACCTTAACAATATCGTTATATACTTTTTTTATAGCAGAAAACTTATTATTTTACCTTAACTAACTCAGCAAAAAAAAATTGTTTTATTAAAACGCTTATTTTGCAGCGCCTATATATATATGAATCTATTCAAACTATATGTAAAAATAAAACTTTAAGGCAGATGGTACATAAATATTTTGTAAAAAAAAGTAAAACAGATGGAGGAGGGGGAGTGAAAGAAACGAACTCTCCGCCGCCCACCACTAACCATCTTATGTTAGAAATTATTTTTCCTATAGGATTCCTTATGTTAGAAATTAATTTTAAAATTGAATTTTGGATCAGATTAATCTTTGTTAACAAGAATTTAATAAAATTTGTCACGGAAAGTTTGAATGATAAAAAAATTGGTCAATAGATATATCCATAAAATTATCTAAAATTAGAACGTTTTGCCCATTTTCCAGTGTCAAACCAATACACTTTTTAAAAACTTGTAAGTAATGTATGGCACGAATTCGTTTTTAAATCTTTTTTTTTTATTTTAGAATAAATAGTTCGAAAAAGAAAGATTGTTTTTGTTTGTGATACACGTGAGTTAAATTCGATCGCAAGCATCATTCTATTTAAATATACTTAAAAATTATAATAAGTTAGTGCGTTTTAAGCTTTTTTTCTTGACCTAAATTAGTATATATTTTTTTATTGTAAACTTCGCAACCAATTCCAAATTAATATTTAGGCCTTCTAGAGTTCATAGAAAAAAAAATTGGTGTTTTATGTCAATGTTTAAGGTCCCCGCGTTTTGTTTAAAAAAATTGGGGTTTTGGGGCACAAATTGTAAAAGTGGGTACCTTAAAAATGGGTTTCAAAAAGTTTTTTTTAGCGTAAAATCTACAGTTAGCAATTGGTCTACATTATTTATACAAGTAGAACTTTTAGTAGAAATAACTTTAGCCTAACCAGAAGACTTTACTCCGTAGAAACAATCATCTATTAGAAAAAAATTAACAAAATTACTGTAAGTTAAAAAATATAAAAATATTTTTTTCATTTCATAAAGAAAGACAGTTATAAATATTGACAAACCTAAATCTTGACTAAAGAACTAAAGAGATGTAAGATGTACACGTAAACTGATTCAGTGTCTTCAAGTTGTGAACTTCTAGAATCAGGTTATCTTTTTAAATTTAGCACATATATGCAAGTTTTTTATAATTTTTCAAAATTAGTGTTATATTTTTTATTCTTAACTAATTTCTTCAAAGTAAGTTTTTATATTAGACTAAAGTGTGCAATTTTTGTATTTTTTTTTTAATATCATTTTTAGAACGATAAGTGAAACATATCACAATTGTTTGCACATTAGAGAAGGAAGTCCTGATATTAAAGTGCAAAAATTTTCCAAATGTAAGTTCATCTGTTTTTATTCAACATTTCATGCTAAATAAAACCAGATAAATGTTTTTCGAAATATTGAAAAATGTGTATGTATTTTTAACAAGTTGCTAAATAATAGATTATGCATAATAATACATTATAAATAATATAAAAAACATTTCTTCAAGAAGTTAAAAAAGAATTTCAGCAATGCATTGCTGCACTTTATTGTTATGATAAACTGCTATCAAGTTTCAAGTCTATTAGTGGAACAAGTATGTTATTAAATGTTGTCTTTTCCTTTTTTAATGTTTATTGTATTTAATTTTTATTATTGTATTTAAATGTTTATTGTATTTAAATGTTTAATGTATTTCATTTAATTTTCAGTTTTTCACAATAGTTTTTTATTAATACTTTACTTAGTTCGAATTTTTTTTTCTAATAGGTTTTCAATCTGCAATTTATATGGAACTACGATGCCTAGTGTCTTAAAAAGTCTTTATTTGCAGTGGATATCCTAGGGGAAAAAGACTGAGTTTGAAGATTTATATTTTATTATGATAAAATAAATTATATAACAAGGTTTGATGAAAGTGAAATAATTTTAAATAATAAAGCAAAGTTTTATTTGTTATAATATTTTTGTTTACATTTATGTATAAAGTTTTCTTAAATAAAGTATGATTTTTAAGGTCTTTGTCAGCTGTGCTATTAATGTTTTGGATGAAATAATGTCAAAATGTGTTCTACCATTGTCTAAGAAAGTTGGAACTTATGGAAATAGACCACTAAAAAAAACTTTATTGAGTAGAGTAATTGTAGTTACTTTTTAAATTTTTATGTTCCTTTAATATACTGTGCGATATTTTGTATTACTTATTTCTTATTATTATAATTTATATTTTAATGGATTTTTTTTTTACATGCTAGTGAAATGCATGAAAGATTTCTATAGCATTTTTCTTTTTGAGGAACATTAGTGTCACATACCGCAAATTCAATTTGGTCGATAAGTTGAAAAGCGATTGTTTAAAGAGAATAATAGAATAAATAGCTTATAGAATAGCAAAAAAAACTACTATATTATGTTTTGTATGCTTAAATTGTAAATAAACACAAAATGTAAAAACTTTTAGTTATTTATCCAGATCTAGACTGTTAGACCTAAGTTTCCATTTGTGAAAAGGTTTTTTTCTGTACAACAAATTATTTACTTAAATAACACTGACACTTAAAAATAAGGATGTAAAAAAATGTTAAAAACGACAAAACGTTTTATTTAGACGTAATAAAAACCAACAAATAACGTTTTCAAAAAAACGTCCGTTCACCGCTTCATATGGACGTTCAAAAAACCAACAAAAAACGTTCTTATAGGTCCATTAAAAAACGTTCACAAAACGATTTAAAAAAACGTCCGCTCACCGTTTCATATAGACGTTCAAAAAATCATTAAAAAACGTTTTTACGGGACCATTAGAAAACAACCATGAGAAAAAATTATATCATAAAATAGCTGGCAGCTCGTTAAGCATTTTTTATAAATGGTCATTAAGAAATACCGAAGAGCTCAGTTTATTATTATCAATATATAAGTTTTTTTAATTCTCCTTCTCATCTAAGAGAGAGAGAGAGAGAGAGAGAGAGAGAGAGAGAGAGAGAGAGTGGAAGAGAAAGAAAGTGTTCCCAAAGCAGCATTTTAATAAAGTAAAAAAATACGCAATAAATAGTAATAATTGGTTTTATTATGTTATCAGTAAACAAAGTTATTTCACCTTGATTAAAAGTTAATTTTTTAGTTAAACTCCAGCTCCTCTTTAACTGTTGACAAATAATTAATAGAGTAATTTTCACATCATATTAAATTTAGAAAACTAAAACCATGTTTCAACAGTAAGCAAACTAATCAAGTGATGATAAAGGCAACTAAAAAAAAAGAAAATAATTATGTTTGAAATTATATAAGGTTATAAAATCATTTAAATTTAAAACTGTTATTAACTGTTACTATAATTAGTAAAATTTATAATTTGCTTTGTTCTAAATTATTCAAAGTAAAATCAAATTAACAGACATTAACACTGCTTGACACTGAACTTTGACAAGAAAGTTTTCTGCTTGCTGAGCAGCATTTTTTACACTTCAGCAACAATTAATTTTATATTGCCTAGATCTATCTCTTGACAACAACTATTTTCACGTTGCTTTTTAGTATTTACATTAACAACTTCTTTGAGCCTATTATCCACTTCAATTTCACAATTATCATTAAACATATTACCAGTAATCTTACTATTGTTACAACTGAATTAATAAACGTAAAATAGTCTTCCAAACTGTGATCTTTTCTAATCAAATTATAGAAAAGAACATAATTTACTAAGAATTCAAACTTAAGATTGATTTAAATCCATATCTTTTATGTTTATTTACATAAGTCGTTTATCAAAAATATCAAACAATATTTAAACAATATCCACAAATTACTATTATAAAATAAATCCAATATAAAGTAAAATAAAAATAGTAAACATACTCAAAACAGTACCAGTTACAAAAAAAAGTGACAAAAACATACTCAAATCAGTACCAGTTATACTGTGTGAAGTGACAAAAAAAAAGGTGTTTCCAGTTGCACTTAAAATAGGTTTCAGCTTTTTCCAGTTGCAGTAAAAAATAGTTAACAAAAAAAGTTGTGTAGTTTTTAAGAATGAGAAAAGAAATAAGTAAAAAACTAAGATCAAACAAATATTTATATATTAAAACTATTATATTTAAACTAATTAAATTAAACAAGGACCTTCTTTTTTATTTTAAATTATCACAGATTTATACATAATGCGGGACGCGGATACGGTATTTTTATAATTCAATAGGAGTAATTCTCCCCTACAGTCGATTCTAAATACCTTTTTAACTTTTCCCCTAGACGTATTAAGGTGTAAGAGAGTAAAAAGATCCATTTTTTTGGTGTAGCACTCAAAAACCAACAGATCATCCAGGTCATATTTATGAAATCCGGAAAACTGTTTGCGTATAATATCCGGAAAAAATCAGGAACTTAATTTCCCTAAAACTCTTCTTAATTTTGTTTTAGCTGAGTTGTTTTCAATATCTTTTCCAAAATTTTTTTAATTTTTGCATCAGTAGTAAGCGATAATCCAAGAAGACGTAAAGGGTTAGCTTAGGATGTAGCATTGTTAATATCTAAAGTAAATTTAGAATTACTAAGCGATTATGCATGATCTTAATGATAAAGCAAGGAATAAGATGTGGAATTTGTATGATTTCAAACAGGCTAGGAACTGATAATTATATATGAAAACCTATATGAAAACCTATATAATAAAAAATATATGAAAACCTATGATGAAAGTAAAAAATCAAAATACATACAGTATTTAGATGCTAACAATTTATATGGATGGGCTATGAGTAAACCACTTCCTACACATGGATTTTAATGGATGAGTTATCTAATGAGAATCTAATATACACAAAGTTGATCTCCAAAAAATTGGAGATCAACTTTGTGTATATTAGACGTAGATTTAGAATATCCTGAACATTTACATGATGCTCATAATGATTATCCACTTGCTCCTAAAAAAATAACTATAGATAAAGTTGAAAAAATACCAAATTTAAATCATAAGAAAAATTATATCATTCATTAGAAAAACTTAAAATTGTATGAAAGATTAAAAGTGAAAACAACAAAAATTCATAGAGGAATAAAGTTTGAAGAGAACGCATGGCTAAGTAAGTACATTGAGCTCAATACAAATTTAAGAACAAAAGCTACTAATGACTTTGAAAAAGACTTTTTTTAACTCATGAACAGTTCAGTATTTGGAAAAACAATGGAGAACATTGAAAACAGAGTAGATGTTAGATTAATCACTAAAAGAGAAGAAGCTATTAAATTAGCATCAAAACCAAACTGTCAGAGTAGGACTATATTTGATGAAAACAAATAAAAAGTACAAAATTATTATATAACAAAACCATTTACTTAGGTATGTGAATTTTAAATTTGAGACATTGATGACAATTTCATTATGATTACAGCAAAAGTACATATGGAGTTAAAGCTAAACTATAATTCACAGACAAAGATTCTTTAGCATATTAAAATAAAAACAAACGACTTTTATTCAGATATTAAAAAACGATCTTGAAAGTAAATTCGATACGAGTGAATTTGACAAAAATCATCCAGCAACTCAAAATGGATTTAAAGTAGAGATAAATAAGAAAGAATAAGGAAAGTTTAAGATGAAGCTGGAGAAGCACAAATCAAAGGGTTAAGATCAAATTTGTATTCATATAAAGTACATGGAAAAAATTAAAAAAAAAGTGAAAGGGAGTAAAGAAAAATGTTGTTAAAAAATATATAACACATGAAGATTACAAAGACTGCCTTATGAATATAAAAGATCAAATGAGAAAAATGAATGTAATAGTTTCATGTAAATAAATCTCATTTACATGAAATTTATACAGAAGAAATAGACAAAATAGCACTCAGTGCAGAAGATGACAAAATAATTATTTTAGATGATGGAATTCATACATTAGCGTATGGTCATTATAAATTAACTCTTAAAGAAGATAGTATTAACAAAGTCGCTGAGTCTCCTAAACCCAACTTTTCATTTCAGATTGATTGGAATAAAAGTGATAGTATTGATATAGTGAAAGCCAACTTTTCATTTCAGATTGATCGGAAATAAACAAGCACAGGCAGGCAGGTACAACGAAGTCAACGAATCTTAAATAAGATAAAAAACAGGTAAGTAATTTTTCTATAAAAAAATCTAAAACTATTAATAAAAATGGAAAAACTAATCAATGTTGAAGGAATCATTTAACCAAATTTGTGTCTCTATGTCTTGAAAATTTTTCAAGACATAGAGACACAAATTTGTGTCTCTATGTCTTGAAAAAACTAAATGATGAAAATGAATTTCAAAGCATCATCAATTCACTTTGGTAAAAACAATATAAATAAAAATAATGAGTATATAAAACGAGTACCGATATATTTGGTGGTAGTTCACTTAATGGTATAACTGCTTTTGGTAGTACATTAGGTGGCAGTTTAAATCTTAATATTAATATAGACAATAAAGCAACTTCATACGTTGATCTCAATACACATAAACTTATTAATGTTGTTGATCCAACTAACCCTCAAGATGTTGCTACAAAGCATTATGTAGATAATATTCAAACTCCTAGTAATTTATATATCAGAACTGATGGACAAAATAGTGCGACTGCTGACATTAATCTGCATAAACTCATCAATGTAGCTAATCCTACTAATGCACAGAATGCAGCTACAAAGCATTATGTTGATAATAATCAAACTTCTAGCAGTATTTATCTAAGAACTAATGGTTATAATCCTGCAACTGCTAATATTAATCTAAATACCAATATACCAATATATATATATATATATATATATATATATATATATATAATATATATATATATATATATATATATATATATATATATATATATATATATATATATATATATATATATATATATATATATTAAACTCATCAATGTAGCTGATCCTACTCAACCTCAAGATGCTGTTACAAAGCATTATGTTGATGATATACAAAATCAAAGTTTAGATATCATTTCCAAAACAAGTTTGACATGCTTTGGATTAAAATCTCAAGCCATATATGGAACTCCGGGATTATGCACTATTTATAGCTATAGTGGTAGTTCTGGAATTCTAAGAAAATTATGGATTGCAGTTACAGGAACAACTAGTAGTAGTGTTACTACTGTCCCTGGTAACTTGTTTTTAAAAATATATGCTAATAATGTACATTGCATAGGTAATGATTCTATTGCAGCAGATGGTGTAGGTATTACTAATACAGCTTTAGCTTGCGATTTATTATTTTCTACACTTGGCGGTCCATATTATAACAACTTTTTACAAGGATGCAATTATGCAAATACTATTGCACTAGGTGGATATACTACATTTTCTGGATATAATGTTAACAGTCAATGTATCTACATTTCATCAGGTTTAGAAGACTTTTACTTGTCTTCATGGAATAGTATCAAT